CCATAAGTAGTTTGCGATTAATATAAACTCCACAATTCTTTGAATGTCGACAGACATTAGGTTTACTATTTCACCATAAGTGAAATCCTTCCGACCACAACTCGATAACTTTAGAGTCTATATTTATAATACAAAAATTAGATGCATATTTTAAATATAATTGCTAAAATGGAAATGTTCCCTTTATACATAGTCAATTTATGACGGATTAGTAGATCTCTATTCATGGGTCAAAACTTGCGAACGGCTACAAAGATCGAAATTACAGACGGATTTCTAACCACTGGCAACCACTAACATTATAATTTTGTGAATGACATTACTTATATGAAAAACCAAATTTCAATGCTTTGAGCCATAGTGTATGTTAGTATTTAAAAATTTTTGCCAAACTTCAGTGTTTGTGACCGTTTGTAAGTTCTGTTTAATAAATATACATCTACTAATTGTATCAAATACAACCATATCAACCCCGTCGGCATTGGGTTATACGGTATAATTTATACCTGAAGAGCACTTTTCCTTCAAAAAGATGTACTACCGAATAGTGCATTTTCTGTTTCAAGCATGTTTGGTATGTATGGGAAGAGTATGGCTACGATAAGGATATTAAGCCGGTGTGGCGTGCACGGGTGTCGGGAATAAAAGTGCTGGTTAAATTACAAATTTTAATCATCATTTTTCAATTCATCAAAATGTAATAAATAACGAAATTTGGCAAAGCCCGGGTGTTTGTAGTCATTTGAACAATCTGATGATTGAATAGTCATTTCATGGCCACACTCTACACATTCATACCAATTTATACCGCAACGGGAAATACCTTTTGGTAGTACTCTTTTAAATACAAAGTTATTAGTTATTATTATTACCTTTTTATAAATAATCCATATTAAAGTAGCTCTGATTCTCATCGCCACTAAATTAAGCAGATATTCGTATTGACTGTTTAATAGGGACACAAACAGAGGGGTAATAAACATAAGGGAGGCGTAGAATAAACCTCTCCATTGGGGCTCAGCATTAGAGGGATTCATGAATGAAATGAGTCTATCGAGTAATATAGGGCTCATAAATTCCATACAAATAACGATCAATTTGACTGCACTTACAGTCAATAATTCCATCCAAAAGCACTTTAATAGAGGCATCAAAATCTTGATGTAATATATGTTTTGGTTATTATTTTGTGATTCCCTTTTCTTATCTATTAATTGTGACCAAATATTATTAAATTTTGTGTATATATAATCAGTGGTGTTGTGAACGTCTAAAGACCACATGTCTTGAGATGTCAATGGTTTTCGGTATCCTTTAAATATAAGTTCATTAAACCAATTGAATGTGATTTGAGATAAGAATGACTTATATTTTTTGGGACATTTTTTCTATAAAAAAATAATAATAATTGATTAGTATTTGTATATATAAAGTGATGAAATCATACATTTGTTGCATTGAGATTTGTAGAGTTTGATAGACAGGAGAGAACTAATTGCACGACAATTATTGGGTACGAAATCATTGTCGCCGTTATTTCAAATATATTGACAGAGATATTCTTATTTGTAATGATAAATAAATAATATATTGTTAAAATTAAAATATTGTGTGAATACAGACTCACTGTTTTAGGATACAAAATGTGCCGAATTATTGTAATAAAATTAAATGCATTTCCAATCGATAAAAGTAACCAAAATATGAAAACAGAAGCCGAAGAAGACGTATTGTATTTGCGATTCTTATGTATTCTATGTATGAAATATATCTGAAACAGAAATATTGTAAAACTCAATACTTTCTATAAAATTAATTCAGTTGATCAAAAATCAAATACTTATTAAACTAATTAAATTAATACTTACAAAAGTAATTGATTTAATATTAGGTGTTATAAAATCAATTAATGATATATTCATATCATTTTCAACCCAATATCGATAACAGGTGTAAAATATTTCACTTGTATTTATTACAACTAAAATTATGACCAAAATCTAAAGCAATAATTTCAAAGAATGAGTGTAAATAATTTTAATAAATTAACTCATTTTAGATATGATTACAATTTTAGTTAAATCTCTGACATCCCACGGAGGGGGTGGAAGAACAGTCTTCTTCGTGTCATTCGTGAACAATGTCCTCAAATTCTCACAAAAGGATAGTATAAAGAATACTATACATGGAATCCATACCAATATTGTGTTCTCAAAACATGGGCTAAATTCTGGAAAGTTTTCACTATTCCACGAGAGATCCCAATCCTTATTAATTGACAAATAATGGAAATAAACATTTAATTTTATATTCAAATTTAAATTATGCAATCAAAACATACCCAAAATATAGTGTTACAAATTGGTAACATGTTGTGTAATACAATTATTAAAATGCTGTATTAAATTGAAGAGTTTAAATTCAGTTAATACATTAAATCACTAAAACATATCAAATATTAAAATTTATTATTATGTAAAGTACACTAGATCATTTAAGGTTGATATTAAATTAATATAATATAGAAATAAACTATGTTGTACTCATCTCTTACAGACTCGTTTGCAATTAATGAATAATTGTAACGATAGTATAGTAATTATGTGAAAAATAATATTTATTTCGCCTATAATTGCCGTCAATTGACATTTTAAAATCATTAAGAATAATTTTCAAATATTTATTTCAACAAATTAGTATGCTTTTAAAGTCCGGTATAATATAGTGTATATAAGGATGGAAAAAATGATACATATGTAAAATACATACTCTGACATATATACAAAATGGCTTAAATTGTTGATAATGTTTGCAAATGGTGGATTAATTCACATAGATTTACGCTGTGTTATGCGAGTTTTTAAAATTGTAACAAATAAATTATTATTTTAACAAAATAATTATTTTTAATAGAAAAATATATTTTATATATTGAAAAGTTAATAGATTAAAATTACCCATTGGTTAGAATTAATTTCTAGTTCTTAAGAAGTGCATGTAATAATACACAAATAGTACATAATAATGTACACTAATAATACATACAAAAAATTGTCTTGTATTATCCCATCCCTCGTTGTATGTATTAATTATAATAAGTAAAAGATATGAATTATTTAAAATCCATTATTTAAAAAGTTGCGTTAAATATAGCGCAACAACAAGTATTATAAAGTTTATATTACTTTATATTACTTGACATTTAAATCTCATTAATTTGTATTAACAAATATCTGAAATAATTAATTCTGATTTTAATGAACTGCAAAATGACGCCAATATTTGACGAAATAATGTTTACATTTGTTACACATTAATCATTAATGTTAAGATATAAACCAAAATGTGTGTAAAAGTACTGATAATATACAATAGATTTGCCAAATTAACCGTGTAAAATAAATCACTCGTATTAAATTACAAAATATGATTATGGCCAAAATCTAAAAGAATGATTAATTAGAAAAATTAATTTATTCTAAGCTTTACTGCAGTTTAATCTAAAGATTTTGGTTAACCCATTGCAAGCCCACAGAAGAGCTGTCAGACTACGTGTCTTTCGTGAACAATGTTCTCAAACTTTTACAAAATAATATGAAGAATACAATACATGCAATGCATACCAATATTTTGTTCTCAAAACATAGACTAAATTGATTACATTTTTTGTGTTATTTCTCAAGATATCGCATTTATTATTAATTTTAAACAACAATTGTGCTATGAATATGTGGTTTATATGATGGTGAAGCCCGTCAGACCAACGGGAAACATAGTCAATATTAACAAATATAATTATTTATTATTTGATAAATGTGTTAATATGACAATAGAATGTGTTCACATATTTATCTAACCAATTGCTCGTAAATAATGTTAACAACAGTACAATATATTCTTGACATTTAATTCTCATTAATTTAATAATACTCTTGTAATTATAATTTATTTTTATAGCATTAAGAATACATGCAATCAAATATAATCTAATAGTCTCATTTCTATTAAACCATGAATAATTGGCAAAACATTTTATAAATTTATATTTTTATGGACTATTAATTTTATGACGAGTGATTGCCGTGACATTTAAGACATAGAATATTATATTTATAATTTAAAAATCATGACATATTAATTGCAAACATATTATTACATAGTTTTCATTAATAAATTATGAAAAGTATTGTATTATAAAGAAATTTATACAACGATATAAAGGCAATCAGTAATTATTTTAAAAACTAATATAATAATATTAAAATAAATGATTTTATACTTTTTTGTAGTAAATATAATCATAACATTATAATATAAATTATTATTTACTAAAATAGCTTGAGTTTGGAAATTATTAAAAATTATTTATGATTAAAATTAATTAAACAAATTAATAATAAAAAATGGAAATAACCAAGGTGTACGAGTGTCTGGCAATTGTGCTAATTTGTGTAATTCTCTACGCACTGATCGCATTGATTATAATTTACTGTAAGTTTTATTACATGTTATTTAAATAAATATAAAATAAAAATTGCAATTAATAGGTAAAGATTGGGAAGCGTTGAAAGTTTACTGTCCGACACAAGAGATGGATATTATGAACCCTTTTCTATACCATTATAATCCGGTCTTAAATAACATTAATAATAATTTTGCAAAACAGTATCCATAAAAATAGTATAGCATTTGTGGCATATATGTATTGACACTATTGTAATAAATAGTAGTAGAATATTAAAATGTAAAAATTTAGAATAGTGTACACATTTTGTACCAAAAGAATCAGGGTTGAAGCAGCTATCAATCTACGGGTGTTCACATACAACGTACATACAGTATAAAAGACATAACGTTACAGACAATACTATATTATGTCAAATCCAGTGAATAGTTAACTATAATTAATTACATAATTAATAAAAATAAAAATTTAATTAAATAATTAAGTATAACGTTATTTGTACCTGAAAAACAGGCGCGAGACTAAACTCATACTTATGTATAGTCTTAGCAATACATAAACGCATCTCATTTAAGGCAAACCTCATACCAACGCACAGTCGAGGGCCGCACCCGAAGAGTACAAACGCAACGGCGGGTGATTTGCATCAATGAATCTTTCGAGTCTAAATTTATCATTGCTTCGGTATTGTTATACAGTATTTATTAGTGTTGTAATTATTATTAATAAATATCTAATTAGCATAGTAAATTTTTTGTACGGTATTTCTTAGTTTATAGTATTGAATGTATTCCCGTTGAACACTACTCAAAGGTGGGGCAAACTTTAGTAACTTAATTTTAATACATTATTATTCTTTTTGGTTTAATTTATTAAATAAATATTATTTTTATAAACAATATTTTTTAAATATATGTTATAAATTATAATTTGATTTAATATTTTGCGCGCATTTATAGCCCACGAGTATCGCTGCGGAAGCGGTGTTGGCGTTGGGTATAACGGGAAACACAGAGGCGTCGCAAACCCTAAGATTGTTGGCCCCCTTAACCCTCAACTGGGGGTCAATCACAACGTCCGGCCTCTCTATCGCACCCATACGACAGGTGCCCGACGGGTGATCACCAGAGTTTGTATTGTTTTTAATAAAACATTTTAATCTCTCAATACATTCATACAAATACTGTTTGTCCGGACAGTCGGGACAACCTATTGATGAAAATGAAGGTAAAGGCTGTAAATATTGTGTGAGAGTTAATTGTTCTAACAAATTAAACACCATGGTCACCGCATCCAACATATTTTTTCTGTCAATGGGCTGTGAATACCAGTTTGAGTCAATCAATGGGGGCAACAATGGGTCGGTTGACTGGAGCCGTATTGAGCCGTAACTTTTAAACCGCATTAAAACAACAGTAATGTATATAATACTAGAGATGTGTCCAAATTCAATCATCACATTTGGCCACTCTTTGTCTCGGTTTAGACGTGTGTTTAAATACAATTGGTCCAATTCATCTATATTTAATTGAGGTACTTTATTAGCTAAGTACAAGTATTGTGGTTTTAATTGGGCTATAATTGGAGTATTCAGATGATTCATGTAATGCTGTCCAACCCGTAAATCTAATACAACCGGTATATTAAGGCTATTCAAGTGCTTGAGAGCCACGCCTGAGAGCATCAATAATTGCGGTGTATTTATGGCACCTAAACATCGGTATTATTTATTATTCATTTATAATGATTTATAATTATAATTACCGGCGGAAACACTGACTTCTCTGTTGGCGTAAACCGTTTACGAGATGTCATTCATTATAAACTCGACGCCAATGGCTGTCAACCCATTGAACAGTATTTTAGTGACCAATGCTTAGCACACTATATGCAGGTTATCTGGATATAAGTTCGGGTCGACAAACACTGTTCCCATACCCGACCTCAGACCCGACGAGTTAATAAACAGTTGCGACAACATATATCCAAATGCTTATACTCTAATTTAATTTAGGCGCCCGGGCGGCCAAGTATGGGATGTGCCGATGCTATCAGCTGACAACAATATGGTCTGTTTAACAATTAACTATAGTATTCATTATTATAATAAAGTTTATTTATTAATATTAATTCATTTTAACTGTTTATTTTACTTTTATTTTAATATAAAATATATATTGTTAAAGTATTACATAAACAACATATAATATTAGCGAAACTTTTACAGCACATTTAATGACAAACATTTACCTCAATATAGAAAATCCTAAAACACATACTAAATCAAATTAATCGATACCTATCACTGCTCATAAAAAATTATAAGGCAAAAATGTTTTCTCAAATACATTTAAAGCTTATGCTTAAAATATTTTTAATAATGTTTTGTTTTAATAACTAATCCAACGAATGCCAGAAATAGAAATACAAAACTTATTAATAACAATACAATCGAATCCCAAAATATGTTCTTTTCATGAAAGCCCAGAGAATTAATAACATTGAGTCCATTGCCATAACATTGTCCTATCGATTGACTGTCATTCAAACATGCAATTTCATTAATTGTTTGCCATTGGTTTATAATAAGGGATTCATATGCATAGTGCATATATACCAAATATTTTAACCAGTTTAACCAAATGGGAATCGAGCTTATTTTAGAACATGATTAGTTTAGGTGAAATTTGCAAATTTAAATAAAAAAATGTATACATACTTTACGTTTAATAGGAACCCGGCAAAGAAAAACATTATGATAAGAATTGGTGCAAGTAATAATTGTGCTGTAAAAATGTCCGGACTAATAGTTGAAAACATATAACCTGGTGTTAAGAAATAATCAAAATAATGATGTTAAACGAAAGTAAAATATTCAAACAATATATTACTACCAATACTAGACGTGCAAAATACATATACCAGGTTAATAGCAATATATGTAAAGTATACCCTCGGTTCGGAATTTAGGCCAATCAAATAGTATAGTATTAATGTCAATAACGAACACAATATCATGTAATACAGCATCTGTTAAAATATATTAGAAATATTTTTTAATAATATTGATATCAAATGATGTGCTATAGCCGAACAACAATTCGGGATATGCTTATAAAAAATTTAACATTGCCATAAATTTACTGGCAATCACATAGATTAGAATTACCATTAAGTATAAAATCGTTTAAAAAATTGATGTCAACAGTGGTATTATTGCTAAACATTGTTTGATCTAAAATACTCCTGGTCAATGTAGTTCCTTTTAGGAACTTGAAGTAGAAAAGCCAATTGTCATAAACAAAATTAAAATTTTGTTATATTATTTTACACTAGTAATTTAATTAAAACATTAAGATAACAAAATAATTGTTTGAATTCATATACGGATATACAAGGGGTGAGAGGGGTTGGGAATATTATAAACTTGATTAAATAACGTAAAGTTATATATGAAGGGTTCAATGCATTAATATTTTGGGAAAACCATACGATAGCTATCGTATGGATTGACTGCATTTGTATTAGGTGAGAGGGGTTGGGAATATTATAAACTTGATAAAATAACGTAACGTTATATATGAAGGGTTCAATGCATTGATATTTTGGGAAAACCATACGATAGCTATCGTATGGATTGACTGCATTTGTATTTGAATTTGATTTCAAAACAGTCATTAAATTATATGTATTTTTGGATGAAATGAAATGAAATTTGAGGATGAAATTCAGCGTTTGAAATCAAATAATAATTTTGAAAACTTATTTCAAACGTCTGAAATTATTTCATTCTACTCTCAACTTAATATTAACGAATTCCCATTATTAATAAATAATGCATTAATAATTTTGACATATTTTGGATCTACTTTTAATTGTGAACAATTTTTTTCATTAATGAAATCGCTTAAAAATGACAAAACTGGTAGTATTT